CATACATCTTTAGCAGTTTGAAACGTACAAGAAGGAATCTGAATTAACTCTTTCTCTAATTTAGGAATATTGATTCCAGCAATTAGACGATCACGTAGTTGAGTACGCAGCTGATCTCCAAAGTTACACTTTGAAGCTTGTATTTGGAGTTGCAGAATAAAGTCTCGAATCTTCTAGTTGGCAGCACGAACCAGTTTATTGAACTGAGCCATCTCTCGCGTCTCAAAAGAAGTTATATGGAAGTGATTTATCAGAAGTTCACGAATCTTGACATATGACAGAGAAATAGGTTTATCTGGAAATGGCAGAGTCTTTACTAGGCTATACGCATCTAGCCCAATCGCAGTGATGAAATATGCTGGAATTTTATCATCCCGAACATTCTTGGAAATGCACCACGCATCGAAGCATTCCAAATAATCAGCAATCTCCGCGGAGTAGCATTTATAGGAAAATTTCCAGGTTATTTAGTTCCATCGCGACGCCAATTTGTAGTAATTTATTGTAGTCGTAATATTGGTATTTCGAGATGACCGAATTACACGAATCCAACCAAAACACAGAGAGGGCGGAATTCAGGAATTTGTATTTAGCGGAATTTTTATGCATTTCATATAAGAAACATATTAACAATTTACTGTAAGTATTGAAACAATACAGAGATAGAAATTGTCAATCACCAAAGCTAAATTGGTGAGAGGGACTATCTCCTTAGTGATCAGCCATTGTATCTCTTACATTCGAAAACAAATTCAGTCAGGGGTAGTGTGGCTCAGTTCTGACATGTACAGTTGAAGTAATGGGTCATGTACATTCACACCCTACGTGGAAATCAATTATTCCTAGGTCTCAGATGCGGCCAGATGACAACTACCAGTAAGCTCGAAACACAGACACAGAGATTATTTCCTATTGCCTTAAACTGTTTAACCCATTTCTTTCTTTGTAGAATACTATACATTAACAGAATGATGGCTACTCCAGCAATAGAAAACAGTTCTAAGTAAATTTCCTTAATTCTTGTGATAAGAAATGTATTCAAGTGATGATTCGAATACAACAGTACGTTGACTTTAAAAAACTGCCGTACTTAGGATTTCAAATCACTTACCTCGAATTCTTAAGCACAGCCCTAAATAAGGTTTGTCTGAATCTGAAAATACGACTAATGTTCTGAAACGAAGTTCTCGTTTAAGTCTTAGTTCGTAAATGTTTGGCTGAATAACGTCATTAGAAATAAAAGGCCACTGGAATTTTGTAACTGATCAGCTTCATTCTACGCACATCAATGAAATATTTTAGAAGATGTGACAGAAAATTTCACGAAAAATGAGCCAACAGAAACTCTTTGTAATTTGTATGGTGAAAATGAGCACTGGGGAAAAGGATGTTTTCCTAAAGTAGCCTTAACTATATGAACATCATCAGTATTGAGAAAAAATCTTAGAACTTCTGAAACTTGATCAATAAACTCTTGAAAAATTTTGAATGATTTTAAGACTAATGTAGAAATATAAGTAGGCCTAAAGTTGACATCAGTAAGATATATCAGTCCATGGTCAAACTTGAAATTCATCAAACCTGTACAAACTAATTCTTGAATAATAGCTGTTACGAGGTACTGAAGATAAATAAAGAGAGAAGGAGCAAAATCAGTCTGGTTCAACGCGAAAATTAATTCCAGTTTTTATGAACTATGGTTTATATATCAGAAAAGTTTTATGCAGATGAATTACTGAAGTACTTATCACGACTTCCTGAGCTATTCAGAAATTAGTAGTATGTTACCTCATAAAACTAAAAACCTGAGAGTTCCATAAAATAGTGCGAAACTGAATGTTTTATTCCGGAGTAAATGCTCAAGTTGCTGCTGATCTGCACACAGCTTAAACTTTCCGCATTTCAACAGCTAATTTAATTCCCAAGCCACTGCTTATCAAACTACCTCAATAAGGGCAGTAAGGCTTTCATTTCAGCTGTATTCTGTTTTACTAAGAACTTATGGTTGTTGTGTAGTGTTTCCATTTACATTCAAAGTGATTGGCATGACCTATGTCTTTTTAACTCTGTCATTAAACATACAACGTTTAAACATTATAAAATGGAACTATAAACTAATTCAAATTGTTCTATAGACGATATCATATAGTGTATTTTGTGCTCTTGTTAATTCCACGCCGGCGTACAAGCAGTTATTTATGAATGGTCAAATATTTAAGGGATATTTCCAGACCTATCAGTTTTAACCGATTTACTTTAGAATTCTTCAAAGTAGAAAAGTTTATTGAAGTCTTAATTACTAGTGGCAAATCAACAAAATGAAGCTAGCTTGTCCAAGAATGAAATCTGCTCACTGGGTAAAAAAATCCTCCTATGCTAAAATAAAATCTCAGCAAGACTTTTGTACTTCGAAAGTATAAATTCATGGAATGATTTCTCAGCAGTTTGCTTTCCTTGTATATCCATTTTAAAACTAGCCAGTTGTCCAGCGGAGATATCAGCCGTTCAACAAGTAATCTCAGGCATATTTCAGAACTCCAGTAGTTACAAAGCAAATGATTTGATTGAAATAAAGGCTATCAACATGTGAAGTCAATATAGCCATCTGATATTCCATTTTGTTGTTCAGAATAAATGGGGAACTAGGAAGATTTTGTAGTCGAATTATTTGTCCAATTGTCTCCTACAATTTCTTAGCTTACTATTTTTTGGTAAATCGGATTACTATAGATATACATTGTCTGTAAATGGTATTCTTATCACTGTTTTGATACGTACAAAGTGAATTAAATTCTTTCCTAATAAGATGAATGGTTTTCGAACCAAGTTACTTCTGTTTGACAGACTTCAATTTTGAAAGTGGAAATGCCTCAATTATTGCAAATAATGGCACCCACAGTGAATTGATGAAATCGGATAAGGCCTTAGCTGTTGTCTTTTACTGAGACCTCCCTTATGACAAGCATGGAAATCTCTGTGATAAACAAAGTATTCGTAATCTCCACCAAATGTTCGTTTATGCTTGACACAGTTTTCCCTCTTTGCCTCATCGTATTTTCTGATTAGTTGTTTTTGTCACTTAAATTAAATTTTTCAGTGAGTACACTTGAGTTACTTCAGTACTCTGTATTTATGAAAAGCAGCTAATGCTTCCGGTATCATATATACATTATTCAGATTGTTTGGTTCTATCTAGATCTCTCTAGAACATCGACCATTCGTTACTTAGATGCACCAGAGTTATGTCACTCATTTCATTACTTTAGTCATAATTCAATTATGCTATTGCTCTGAAAATGAATCTTATTAGCCAATATGTAGAGCATTTTAGCTTCGTGCAGATAAATTTCTCTTTACACAGACACAGTAATTTAAACTACCAACTTGTCTTATTCCATATGGGTTAGTAGTCGTCTAAAGATGGTGCTACCATGCGAAGAACTCATCAAAGTATCATTTTCATGAAAACCAATGAATTGCCCTTGAAATACAAACTCAATCTGATAAAGCGCTTCGTTCATAGAGCAAGAACAATATGCTGGGATGAATGTCTTGATGAGGAACTCAATAATATTAAACGGTTGGTGAGTGAAAACGAGTATCCAGAAAAGTTCATTGATAAGAATATGAATCTAAAATCAAAGCAGCCCAATGTACCAACAGTTCCTAAAAATGCCTTATTCTTACAAATGCAGTTCCTTGGGGATAACATAAGCGAGATACTAACACAGTGCCTTAGAAACCCGGTACAAGAAGAGCATTCCTTGCTGCTGAATTACGCTTTGTTTTCAAAACCACTCCTCTTTTGAGTTCGAAAGTAAAAGATAAACTGCCTAATTTCGCCTCTTCCATTTGTATCTACTAGTTTAACTGCTCCTGTGAAGCCAGTTACATAGGCCGTTCTATTAGGCGTGTTTCTCGTCGGATTTCCGAACATCATCCTAGGTGGTTAAGTAAAGGACAGACAAAATCAATTTGTAGCGCTAAACTATCTCACCTTGGGGATACAGATCGCAAGACTGATGTTGGCCAGGCGTTCAAAGTCATTTACCAACAAATCTTAACTTCGCCTTAAGAGTTCGTTTACTAAATATTGCTAAGGCCGTTGGGATCCACATTAAGAAGCCTAATTTATGCGTCCAAAAGAAGCTAGTTCAGACAGTATCCTTACCTTGGCCATCTAGGTTTGAATGATCCTGAATTTTTGTGGAAATTTCCCTAATTTTAGTCGACATTCTATTTGCTATTCTATTTATATTATTGATATAATATCAGCATCTTTATCAAACTGTAATTCCATTAATCTTACGTTATAAATCGATATTATTTAAAAGACACTTATATTGTTATCGACTACTATTCTAGAATATTCTATGTATATAAACATATACATATAATTGTAGAGCCAGAAGAGGAAATTATCGAAAAGGATATTCTTTGCTCGATTATTTTGTGTTTTATAGATGTCTGAAAGAATGTTTTCGCTAAATTGCATAAATGTAGGATGTCAGACATATTTCTATTTTTAAGGTCTAGGGAATAAACTCCAGTGCTTACTTTCTGTTTCTGATACTACCCTTATTTCGATAGAGTAAAATTAACGATCATAAATGCTAGTCACTCTGTGTGTAAAACTGTGACGACAAAATTACAGAAAACCCTATCTCTTATATTAACTAACTTAAACAAACAACCTTAAACTTTTAATAATTTTAGTTTGACTAACATTTTAAGTTTTATTCTCCAAAGAAATTTATCACCTCTAAAGCCCATATCATATCAAAACCCAAAGTAGATATGAAAAAGGATAACTGAAAAACATTACATGATAAAAATGTTAGTTAGATGAAATCATTCTAAACCATAATTAAACACACAGAAAATACATACACACACACACAAGACAAATTGAGAATGGCATATTTTAAAATGAATGAACAGTTGCGTTTTCATCCTCTGAATGTAATTTGAATATTTAACAGAATGAAGAAGATGGCAGATTAGGCGGCCAACAGATGCGCATCATCTTTTGAGTCTTTTTCAAACAATGCTGCCTAGAATTTAAAAAAAACGAGATAAAATACATCATGTGAATGGCGTAATAACCGATTAGCAAAAAATGCATTAATATATATATATATATAATGTAACTATAATTACCTTATCTTCAGGTTCTTTCTCATCTTCTTTAAACATTTCAGATTCATTCTACAAATAAAATTAACCAACAACCAAAAAAGTAGTGAGTTGAGTCAATTGCGAATTGATAGAATTTGAAATGTTAATAGTGTTTAGCTGAAATCAAGTCGGTTGGCATACGCAGGACTTAATAAAACAATTTCGGATATAGTCTTCTTACACGAACAGTATGGAACACGATCTAAGCAAATGTGTGTTTTCGGTAAAATTAGTAACAGGCCTTACAATTACATAATAAAATATTAGTCTCAGGCATCTGGAACAATGTGGATCAGCAGTTGAAGGCCATAGGAGGAGGAAGAATAGGGATTGAGGAAACTTATTCTCAACACATAGAGATGGATTTGAAAATGTTTTATGGCAACTACCTTAGTTATGCTTACTAGTCGAAAGTGTCCAGACGTAGGGAATTGAGGTGAGATCTTGTGTAGTACTGTAAAGACTCAGTTTTTGTAATAAGGCCTCATTTCATGAAAACAAGAGTAGTCGTTCAGTATTAAAAGATTTTTAATAAATATAAATCCTATGTAAAGAAAATAGTATTTCTAATATAAGATTGCAAATATTCAACTCAGAATACTCATGTTCTGACATTATTACTGCTTACTAATTGCTGTTAAAAGACGTCAAGAGTACAGGAAAATAAAGTCTGATGGATGAAGTATCGGCTAACAAGCGTCTGAATCTCCAAAGGGGAACAACAATAACTTAAAAGGTTTTGTAGATACATCATTGTTGACGAGAGCTAATAAGTAGTAAAACTTGCCATCCTGACACTTTTCTCTCCTGACGATCTAACAATATGACATTTTGTTTTAAAGCACGTTTCATCAGTATATCGAACGTTATCTTTAAACAAAAAATCCCGTTTTTCACAGTGCATTAACTTGATTTCAAGCTTTCTAAGCATTTATTACAGTTCTCAAGTGTTTAGTATACAGGGATTTGATTGATTTCAGAAGTGATGACAAAGTGACCTCAGTCAGAGAGCTATTGAAAACCAGAATGCACTAAACAGTTGCTTTGATCTTGTACAAGGAGAAAACAACTGTTTAGTAGTCCCTGGTTTTCAATAGTCCGCCAACTGAAGCCAGTTTGTGATCAATGTTGAAATCTGATATAGTGTCTTTGTTGAGTTTTTCCATTAATATTATTTGCTTAAATATTATAATATATTTAATAGTTGAATACAAAAAGTCAATTACTTACATATAATCGACCTAATACAAGGAGGATAATAATAATCATAAGACTACTGAACATCATTCCATTTCTAAATAATTCATCACTCCTCTGATCTTCTTCTCCTTCGTTTGCTTCACTATTATTTGGTGGTTTCATAACCGCTGCCATAGTTAATAGTGAGATGGTAAATGTGCCGAACAATGCAATAATTACAGAGAAATACTTTACAGATCGTGAAGATTGTTTATCCTCAGTTTTCTCAGACTGCAAAACACAAAGAGGAATGGCAGACAAACAATCATAGTTTTTGAAATTAGAAGAAAATAAACTCCAATGAAGCGAGGGAATGCGATTTGAACGCATAGATTAGAACGGTTATCGTTTCGAATTTAACTTACTAAGTTTTTTTTTTCAATGATGATGGCGATGATGTTTCATTTTAAAGTTGGTACGATTTTAAAAACAAAATATTTTTATAGTCCTAGTTTTTTCTATGTTTATTCCAAACATCAAGTATATCAGTCATGTCTGAAAGATATTTAATGACTTTCATACTATTACAAAGAAGGTGATAATAAGAGCACAGATGGAAAATTCTGTTTTCTCAGTTGTACTTTCTGTTAGTCATAGTAAAACGTTAGTCAGTCAGGTAATATTGAGGCAGTTTATTCCCATTTGTTTTGTTATGTATTCTCAGCTGTTGGTGATGGAAATTTAATAGTTATACTTAGTAGTCTAAATGTGATTATTACCACTAATAATCGTTACTAATTATTAAATAACTCCTGGTTTTCTTTATAAACTTCTTATATTCAAGTGGCGTTTTTGAATCTAACACTTGTTCTTTTGGAGAGTTAGTTTGGGACTCTTCAGCACTACAGGCACACAGGAGTTAGAAACCAGGACCTTCGAGTTACAAGGTAACTTCGTAGACCATTTAGCCACTGAGACTCAATGCAATGGTCCATGAATTCCAACTTCTGGAATTTTTTAAAGAGAACTTCTTTCTCTAGTATAGGTATAGGCATAATACATAATATAGTAGGGGGTATGTGAAAACAGAATCAAAGCATAGGTTGGTATGGCAGCATTCACTCTAACAGTGTTTGTGATCTATCAGTCTAGCCTAGATCTTACTTGATCTAGGCTTTTGTTCCAACTTTTATCCTCTATAGGACTTTGTAAATTTGAAGGTAGCCTTATTCGTTTAACTAATAAGATAATTAAAAAATATCTTTCAGAAGACAAAAGTAATATCAGTGAATAGTTTTAAAATATATTTATATTCCATATAAAATGAATATTAATTAACAAATAATTTATTTAAGTCTTCCACACATATACTTACCGCCATTGTATGCCACTGATAGAATTAACTTATAATTGTAACTGTGAATTAATTATTTAAAAAAAATACTTCTAATAATGAAGTATTCAAAGGTATGATAGTATCAGTTTAACTGAAAAGTTTAAATATAATTTTGTTGATCCATCTCATAGAAAATTAGTACCGAAGTACACTGATGATTACAGTGAATTAAACTTTGGCCTAATTGTTAATATTAAGCAATTACATTATCTATACAGCGTTGCCCTTTGCCTTAAGATTAAAAAAACAAAATAATAATATTATTAGTTTTAAAATAGAGAGATAAAAATACTTAGATGTTTTAATCTAATGATGTGATTGAGTGTGTTTGTTTTTTATAAGATAATTTTCTATTTTTGTATTTTGGAATGTTTTTGATTCTTTGTTATTCTTATCCTTATTCTTATTATTAGTGCTACTTTGGTACTGTTGAATCCCCTGATGATATAAAGAATATAGACAGAACTTTAATGGATGATTGATTTAATAATTAAAACAAGAATTAAAACAACATAAAAAAAACAATTAAGTATTTAGGTATACAGTGTTTAAGTGATTTTTAACTGGTCGGTGGAGAAATAACACTGTCATTATTACGTAGTTCATATCAAGTTGAGTAGATCAATATATGGTCTATGCATGTTAATACCTTAGTGAATCCATAAAATTGGCAGACTGAAGGACAATCATCGTATTGCCTAGTGTTGCTTTGTAGAGATTTAAGTGACAATTTCAAATTAGATCAGGAAGTAGTAGGAGTAGTCGGCTAGCTGCTAACTGGTGGACTACTGCATTCTATTTCAGTAGCTAATTTTTATTAACCGGTCGACTGTGGAACATAAATGTCCTGCGTTCGATCTAAGGTGGAGTTATCAGCTGGTACTGTTAAGAAGTTCTAGACCAGGATAGAAAGGCTTTTCAGTGATTTGTAATTTTCAATAATTTTCCAACTGATTTTAATCTGTAATGTAATTTAAAATCTTTTATTTCAGGGCAGAACTGGAAAGCTATGGTAAAGTATAAGTTCGCTATGTTCGATGTCAAAAGAAGATTCGCTTCCTTGTGGGATTATTTAACCCTCTGGATGGGAAAATTTCGATCCGCCCACAAACTGTTGTCAAAATAAATATATTAGTATTGATCCCTTGAGTTCCAAGTGGAAAATAGGACTTCAACAACATATCTCCACTTTGTTCCATTTTCTTCAATCCTCTCCAGCTGGGCATACGATTGCCCATATTCTCTCATCTCTTTTTAGGCTCCATTTAGGTTCCACTCGAGCGGTGGTCTGGCGTGCGATGCTATTCGACGGTCTCATCAACGTATGCCCAATACATCTCCTTCTGTTGCATGTTTATGTCGAACGATAGGTTCTTTGTTAGTTTAATCTCATAGTTTCTTGTTGCTAATTATTTCCGCCAGGCCTGTTTGAAGCTAGGGAAGGCAACTGTTGATAAAATCCTGAAATCTGTTGGAAATACTTTTCTTATCACGCTTACCAGGTTTCTGACCCCTATGGAAGAATGACTTAAAATTAGTGTTGAATAGAATCCGAATCTTGTTCTTTATGTTGAGGCGGAGAGCAGAAGATTTCTAAACCGACTTCAGGTTGACGAAGGTATATCCACCATTTCGATTCTCGCTTTGAAATCCTCATCCGTTCCGTCTGTGTTTGAAACAGTGCTTCCTAGTGGGATAAGTAAAGGAAGTGGTCTCTTTTAAATTTCTCCTAGTGTCTGTGATTGGTGCTGTTTGTTGTAGCTGTTGCTTGGTTATCTCCATCACCTCCATCTTCTCTATGTTCACCTGAAGTCATGTCTTTTCTGCCTACCTCTTAAGCCAGTTTGTTGGTTTCCGTCTGCAAGTCTTCGAGTCTGTATAGCGCTAGACACAAGTCGTCCGAGAAGTCCAGATCTTCTAAAGTCTTCTTATCGGCCCAACGTAATCCTGTCTTCTCACTCCCCACAGTCTTCAATATGATCTAGTCCACCAAATTAGGAATATCACTGATGATAATAGTTAGCCTTCTCTTACTTCTGTATTCACTTCAAAAGCTTCGTCTAGTTTACTAGCCTGCTAGTTTTCTAGGAGGTTCCAAGCCCGTGCAAAGAGGGAAGATAGGGAGTGGGGATAGCGACCCTACCCCCAGAAAGTCGATCAAACTACTACAAAAACTTCAGCACACAAGAAAATAATAGAAATGCAAAAAACATAAAACACCAAATAAGTGTGAAAATTGTTTTTTTCAATAAACTGATTTCACTAGTACTAATTTGTGCTATCGTGCGTCGGTGGCATAGCGGTTAGGACGCTCGCCGACCATGCTGGTCCGGGGTTCGATCCCCGACCGACGCACCCCTTTGTGGTGAGAGCAGGCTGCTAGCCGATCGGTAGACATTAATCTACGTCAATGTCTAGGTCACCAATATTGGCCGTGAGAAAATATGAGCAAGGCTGATTCAACAACCAATCACAGCAAACTTAACGTGGGCAAATATGATTCGCAGATAGATGGCTCTACTTTTCAGTGGTTACCCGAAACAACCAATCAGAAACCTGCGTTTGTTTGCTTAACTTCTGAGAAACAACCAATCAGAAGACTGCGTCTGTCTACTTGAATAAGCTATAATAATGTATGTGAAATATATATAAATACGTGTTAATTTCCGTAATAAAACGATCTGTTGCCGGCTGTTGTCTTCTGTTGTTACACCTTCACCTCGCTAAACCAGAATAATGCTGGTAAAGAAGAAGGGCTGGGAATGAGGCTACCAATCCCATCATTTCAAATTTACACTGATACAGAAACTTCAAGCCACTAGCTTGAAGCCCTATGTTCCACAGGAGAAGGTGAAGGAAAAAAAATTTATGTTATCAGTGAAAATTACTTAGTGCCTTGCATAACTGAAAGAAGTCAAACAACAAGACCAATTAGTTTATCATTTTCCAACATTACACATGAATCTCATTGAATCACAAGTTTTATGTGAATGGATAAAACTCTGAGATTACTAAAGTGATATATTTTGATTGAAATATCATTCCACTCATTTATTCTTTTGATATAGAAGATTTTGGTGGAACATAGTTTACTGTATGATATTTCCAGCTCAGTAATCAGAGAGTTTCATATACTCGCATGTAGTAGATTGAATATCGATAAACTAACTGGTCCAACTAGTTAGTTCGTAAATCTTCTGCACTTATGATAAACAAAAAAAACTCAGATTTTCAATACCAATGTTAAGTGAGTTATTCTATATGAGTCAGAAACTTGGCCAATCCATCTTGAAAAGCATTTCCAGCAGGTTGCAGACTTATCAGCAGCTGACTTAGCTGATTCGATACTGAAGATCAAATGGCTGGCCAATAAGAATAGGCAATAAGAAACTTGGGGAATAAACAAATCATAAACCCATTCCTCAACAAATCTCCCAAAGAAATTAGAGATGGACTGAACACATGTTGAAAAGACCACCGGGTGACATCGCATTACTGGCAGTCGCTCGAGTGGAACCTGAATCGGAAACGACGAGTTGATTATCCAAAGATCAAGTGGGAAAAATGGTGAAGTGAGAAGATGGAAGGCTATGGGCAATCGTGGGGCCAGGAGATCAGGACGAAATAAAGATGTTCTGTTGACGCCTTAAGATCCACTTGAAACCCCAGGGAATAATAATAACCAGCCTTATCGTCTGACTACGGTCGATCATGAGAATCACTAAGTAATTCTCATTGGCAATATAAATTAGTACTGATGAAATGACTTTATTGAAATAAACCACTTTTCATACTCATTTTAACCTTCAGTTAATAAGCAAATTAAGTGTTTCTAGCCCCTGTTGAATGTGTCTCCCAACTTTTAGTTATTACTTCTGTAAGTACTTGATTGCTTTCAAATAAGACCATAAAATAACATTAGTTAGAGAACAACTGAAGACCAGAGAGTACTAGATAGCTATTTCATTCTAGTCTGAGACAATCCACATACATGAACCCATGGAGGATCGAACCTAGGACCTTCTGGTTACTATGTTAGTCTGCTGATCATTCAGACACTGGGATGGAATCCAATGATCCATGAATTTAAATTCGCGATTTATGGCTTCAGTCTGTGTTAACCCTGCATGATCTAACTTGAAAGCACGTGCTTTAAGTGATACTCACGGCCTATTCTTCTTTTGACTTTATTAATCTTAGTGTGACATTCGTACTCTGGGTTTACTGAAAAAGATTAGTGAATAGAATTGCTGAATATGATAAGTTCTTTCTACGGAAAATAAAGAAATTATAAAAAGCTTTGAGACTAAGTTGCACGCTTTTGGTAAATAATAACTCCGTGCAAACGAAAAAAGTTGGTAGGACTTCATTTAAAACTATTTATCTTCGTTTTTAAATAACGTGCATTCTAATAAAATGAATAAAGGTTGTAAGTTCTTGGAAAAGCTAAACTGTGAGACCCAAGATTCGTACATTTCCATTTCCTGTTTTCTAACTGAGAAATATCTTGGTGCCCATTAGTAAAAACATCACATCAGAAATATTTATATGTTCACAAAATTATTACAACAAGAAATAATTTCCCATGCTAATAAAATGAAGCCAAAGGGGGAGAGAAGTAATTTTAAGCATCACTCCAGTTGAAATAAGTCGTAGAGAGGATGGATTAAAATACCGTCAACAACTCTAGCTAACCTTTTTCCTCTGAGGATAGTTTTAAAGTTTCCTGCTTTTGCTGTCATCAGCTTGTATTTGTGTCTAGATAAGTGAGTTTCACTGTTTTAACCACAGTGTAGTAAGTTGGAATAAAATTAAAGTGCTAGATTAGGTGGATCGAAAAAAACATACTCCGAATATTTGGTTTAAGTAATGAAAGATAGTCACCTGCAGAAAACTACGCAGAAATCATAAGGTTATTCCACTTGTAGAGCAATGCAAATACACGTAAGGAGGCAGTTTACAAAGGTGTTTTATTCCAGCGTATT